TTCGTCTAGCCACAACCCCTTTGGAAAGTGGCCAAACCTGTCTATAAAAACGAACTTCTTTTCTCTCTTGTAAAGAAAAGATACAGAATACGCCTTATTCCTTCTTTATTTTTCTTTCCTTTTCTTTTCTTTATTTCTTTATACAATCCCCGACGATTTCTTCAATTTACAATTTGTCTCTTTCTTCGTCAGAAACCTCCGACTTTCGGGGTCAACGATATCGTTCAATCGAAACTGATAAGATGATCCTTTACAACGCCATGTTCAAATGTATTCGTATTTTTGTAAGTCTTACTTCATATCTTCAACAAAAAAAATTCATTATTATTTTATGAATATAAGATTTACGTACTATAATATAAGTAAATACTTATATATATTAAATATATAAATTTTTTATATATTTATCATATATAAGTTATAGTATAATATAAATTATATTATATAACATAAATTTCATGTTATATAATTGGATATTAAACACAAAAAAAATTGAAAAGAAAAGAAAAAAGAAATAAGAAATAGAAAAAAGTAAAGTTTGTATTTCTTTTGTCTTTTTCAATTTATTTCAGCATAGACTGAAACGTTTAGAAATACAAAGACGGAGTAGTTCCTTTGAAACATATATATATATATATATTGTTAAGAATACTATTGTGAGATAAATTCTAAAAGTAACATATGACACGTAAGACCGTCGACGAAGCATCGGAAAATTCTTCCACTCGCATGAAAAGTAAACACCGACGTTCGCCATTTTCCCAAAATAGAAAATACGTGAGTCGGCGAGTAGGAAGTTCAAGAAAGCTGCTGTGAACCACCGCTACCAGAGAAGAGAACAAGAGAGTAAGAAAAAGAGAGAGAAAGAGAGAGAGAGAGAGAGAGAGAGAGAGAGAGAGAGAGAGAGAGAAAGAGAGAGAGAGATGTAACTAATCCTCTTAAGGTCCTTCCAAGAAAGGATACTGCAAATGGGATTACCATGTTTTTAAAGCAACATAAATCGCCTCTCTCTTTCAGATTTTCTTTCTTTTCTTCATTTTTTTTTTCAATTTTGCCATACTCTCGCCACTGAAATTTTTTTCTTTTGAAACAGCAACAAAATTATTTCTCTATCTTGTAATGTTTAATGAAAAAATTAATCGAAATATTGGTTTAATACGAGTAGAAAAAAAAAGATGTACATAATATTGGATTGATCGACTATAATTAAATATTATTGTAAACAAACAGGAAATATTTATCAATCAATCGAATAAATACGATATTTTATAATAATAAATCCTATCATTTTCTATAAGCTTATTCATGAAGTTAATTCATGAAGCATCATTTTATTATAATAAACATCTTACTTATAATGATATTTACGTATTTATTAATCAACTCGATATAATTTTGCGAAGATAAAAGCAAGCATAAACGAGAGGACAGAAAAACAAAGAAGGAAATCATATATTCATTTCGTCATTAATTCCATTAAATTAATTAATAAATTCTTTCATTATAAATCCATCACGATAAAAAAACAAACAAAAAAAAGGAAAAAATATTATAATTTTCATTTGAAATTAAATATATAAAAACCCACGTATATAGATATTAATAATTATATTATATTGTACATATAATTATATAATTAATTATTACGAAATAATATTAATTTATTTCAATTGATTTATGTCATTGAATAAAACTCATTTATCGAAATGGAACATAAAATCGTAACTAAAAAAAGATCGATTCATTTTTTTTTTATTTACTAAAAGGGGAAATAAAGATTTTCTTTGCGCCAAAAGCGCGTAGTAAATTTCAGCAAGTTTACCACGAAACGACGACGATGACGATGGATAGTCGAACGTGTCTCTCTCTTTTTCTCGTTTATTTTCTTTTTCTAAACCAAATAAGAAGAAAAATAGAGAGATAAGAGTTACGGATCTATCTCAGTTTTTCAAGGTTTTCCTTCGGTCTAGAGTCGCAGAATCCGACGTTCGACAAACGTCACGTTTTCTCGATAGTTTGTTCTTCGTTTCTTGTCCTTCTCAAAGGAGAAGAAGAAAAGAGCATAAACGTATACGATAATGACCATGGCTTATCTGCTTTATATTATGAATGAATCTTTCTTAGAACTATATCTATCTCTCTTTATCTCTTTCTTTCTTTCGGTTTAAAGATCGAATGGAATTGACGAAGTTCTCTTTTTATCTTTTGACATCTTATTTATCCGTTTATAGATTTTAACTAACGACCAAGATGAAAAAAACGACGAATATATGTACATGAATGGCAAAATATTCAAAGTTCGATTAATCTTCAAGAAATGTTATTGAATCTCTCTCTCTCTCTCTCTCTCTCTCTCTCTTCCTCTCTCTCTCTCTTTCTCGATTTAAAGATTGAAAAAATCATTGAACGATGTTAAGCAACATGAAAATGAAAACAATAAACGAACTAAATATATAAATGACAAAATATTAAATGTGCTAAAAATCTATCTTCGATAAATTTCATTGAATTTCTCTCTCTTTCTTTCTGTTTTTTCATCTTTTCATTATTTTCTTTTTTTTTCGTTGTTTTCCGTTTTTTTTTTTTTTTTTTTTTTGTATAAAAGAACATCTTAAGTCTTTCATTTTTCAGGCCGAGGTCAACGGGACGTATCCTTCGTTCATGTTAATAAATCATTCGTGGGCGAGATCAAAACAAAACGAAAGAAAATGATAAGAAATGAAATGAAAAAAAAGAAAAAGATAAAGAACAAAAAAGAACAAAAACAAGACATGCTATTTTACTTTCATGTTTGAAAGTTCAAAGTTCAAGGAAAACAATTAGAATTTATGATAGATAAAATTTGCGAGAAGAAAAATGAAATGAAGATGTTATATCGTTTCAATCGGTAGAAATATTTGTGGAGTCTGAGAAAGGGCTCGAAAATTTTACCTGAACATTCTTTCTTTCTTCTCAAAGCAGCAACAGGTCAAAAGCAAACTACTACTACTACTATTACTACTACTACCATTACTATTACTACTATTGCTATACCTTCTATAAGAATGAATAAGGATATCCACAATAAAACGAAAATAGTTTGCACGAGAGTCCTTCAAATTGTAGTAGGTATATCTAAACGTATGAACCCTTCTCGGGTTCGTTAAAATTTCTTTTAGTAGTAGTAACAGTAACGATACAACGACAACACAACCGGACCAAACTAGATTGACTTATCACGGTTGATTATCGCTCATGATTTTACGCCTTCCCTTAAAAGGACCATACCTCTTCCTATCGAGATCGTTTCGTGTCTCTTGCTTTTCCGAGGCATGACATGACATAAAAAAAGGATCACCCCTCTTCGTAATACTTCGATAGAGTCGTCAGATCGATCCAAGCTAAAGTTTCTAAAGCTTCAACGATCCCTTTCGATAGAAATCGATCGATGAAATCTAATATACGGAAAGTATTTCTATAGTATATACATGATAAACATCATTGTAAAAATATCTTTTCTTCTTCTCTTGTTTAGTTTTTTTTCTTTTTTTTTCTAAAAATTTATATAAAAAGATCGTAATGATATCATTGATCATTAAAACGATTGTCGATTGTGTTTCATCGGTTACCGTGAATGTTATTATTACCGCATCGATCGATTTCATGGAAAAAAAAAAAAAAAAAAAAGGAAAACAAAATGTTCACCTTCGATCGTCGTTGAAAGATTATGCGAAGATTATGCGATAAATTCTGATTTCATCGTATAAGGCAATTTGAAAATTCGCGGTCTTTAAGTTCGACGGAAAAAAAAATGGCACACGAATTGTAGCCAATTGGAGAGAGACAAAAAACAAGAAAAGAATAACGCAAATAAAAAGTTGTACATACTAAGGAATATTTTTCACTTTCAAATGTTTTTTATCTCGAGAAATCACAAAGATACAATTCCTATATTAACAATTACTATTTTCGGACGGCGTGTCTTGATGATAACCTAACTTCGTTACGTAATACATACTGCATGTTTATGTATTAATAATTCCTTACGTAAGACGCTTATGAAGCACTACGGCCTTTGACGATAAACAAGAAATACCTGTTGCATTACCTATTCGTTCGCAATATCAGTTATAATACTTTCTGTCTATTGTCTATCCTTTATCGTCGAACTTCCGATTATCACAAGAAAATGTATGTTTTGGGAAAGTCGAAAGAATAAACAAAACAAAAAAAAAAAAAAAAGAATAAAATTCGAGAATGTTATATCGCCTCATCGCGAAAAATTTTGTTGTTAGAATGTTTCATGTCATCAAATAAGCAAATGAATTCAAGTGCAAGGAGTTAAAGACGAGAGCTAGGCGGCCGCGTTCGCTTAACGATATCCGTTGTCGTGTTACACGTCGTTAAACTAGTTCGGTGCGTCCAGTTTTTCCACTCTCTTGCTCGCCTCGTCCGCCCAACGTTCGTCCCTGAACGACGAAAGAGACAACGAAGACGAAGAGAACGAGAGGATGATAACGGAGGCGGTATGTTCGTCGTTCCTTTGGAGAGAGAAAAAGAGAAAGAGAGAGAGAGAGAGAAAGAGAGGGGGAAGGAGAGAGAGAGAGGAGAGAGAGAGAGAGAGACAAGAATAAGTGAATTGTAAGTGCGGCCCTGCATCGATGCCGATAACGACGCAACTTGTTGCCTCTATACTGATTAACTCTACCGGGATCAAATCACCAAATATATTTTTTACTTTTCGATATCCTCCGAGAATCGTTCCAACTATGGAAATTTTTGTTTAGATCGAAGAAAATTTTACCTTCGATACGAAAAGAGGTAAATATGTATACAGATGTAAATGTAAAAGAAAAATGTAGACTTTCAAATGCGTTCATTTGACACAAGGAAAAGTCAAGTATCAATATCATAACGGATACATTAAAATCAATGGGGAAGGGAATACGTGAAACTCTAGCGAAAGCTTAGTATCACGTGCTCTTACTATATATCTCTCTCAATTAGTTCGTTCGACTTACCGAGATCCTCGACGAGACGTAGCATGACACCACCGATATGCAATTCTCCCTTGACTCGTAGACTCCTCTCCACCTGCAGATCCGTCACGTAGACTCGCAGTACCCAGCTGCCGTCTACTTCGTGACCGTCCGAATACATTTTTCCTTCCTTCCTTTTTTCAACTACTTTATTACGCCGATTTATCTACTTTTTTCTTCTTCCACCTCCTCCTCTCTTCTCTCTCTTTCTCTCTCTCTCTCTTTCTCTCTCTCTCTATCTCTTACTCTACTTCTATATCTTACTCTCTCAACTCCTTTATAATGTCGTATCGTTGGACGCACGAAAATGTATCATGGTACCACTTTCTTTCCACGTGTTTCAATACGAGCTAACATTCGTAGCCGATTAACGATCAAATACTAATCCAAATCCTTTCACAATAATAACAACAATAATAATGACGACGACGAACGACGACAAATTCGCGCGAAGTTTCGTCGCCAGTGCGAAACCAATATTATAACGCTCTTCTCCGGATACGGTAACGCGACGTATATACGTGTGTACGTGTATTTCGAAGGATCGTTCCTCACTCCCTCTCTCCCTCTCTTTCTCACTCTACTTCGCGAGATCACTCGCCGAGAGACGCCCCCCACCACTACTACACTACCACACCAGTGCGAGGCACAGGATCACGCGACTTACGATCTACGGCCGATACTCCACGAGCCCTCGCGCTCGGCTACGCTCGGCTTCGCGACTGAGAATGCGATGTGCAGCTACGAACCAGTATAGTTGTCGTCGTTCGGCGGCCTGAGTTCGGTATGCGCGCAGCGGACCGCTTCCCCCACTACTATCCTTGTTGCTTCTTCTGTCCTTTCCTATCAGCCGCGCCTTCGTCAGTCCAACTTTTATCGTCAGGGACGAACCAACGCGTGGGTGGAGAGGGCGCCATGCAACTAGCCTTACGAAAAATTCGAGAATTTTCTTTCTCTTTACCTTGTACGCTTTTTATACCTTATAACGAAAGGACAAAATTTAGTATTAATCGATAACTTGAACTTTTATGGAGATTATTATCGTTAGCAATTTTTATAAGATTTTTAATAGATACTCAGACATTCATTATATTCTCATTAATTTTTATTCATTGAATTCGCTTATGTATTCGATAATCAATTATTTAAAACTGTATTAAATTAAAGTTGTCATTTTTTACGTACAAAGAAAACTGCTTGAATTTCTATTGAATTCAAAATAGATTGTTGCGTTCATACTTAAATAACGTAAGAAGTCTTTTAAATTAAATAGTCATTAATTACCAGTTGAAAATATTAATTATAAAAAATACTGATTTATACAAATATTTTATTAAGCAACTTTATACATAGTGTAACATTTTTATGTCGCTGGATCATCTCCCTTCGTAGTTCTAGTATAAATCAGTTGAGCATGATGCTGAACTACTTGTTTGATCAAACCTTTCTGTTGTAGCTCGATCAATGCCCTTCTAGCAAGAGATCCTCTAATTTTCAGCCTTTCACTGACGATTGAAGGTGTTATCAATTTGTATTGAGGAACTTCTCTCAGCAATTTGTCATATGTCCCTCTATCAAACAACACTTGGTTGTTTAATTTGTCTCTTACTTTACCTTTGGACCACTTCTGCAATAATAAAGATGCATACCAATTTATAATTTAAATAGAATTAAAAAATATACATATATAATGTCATACATTTATCAAAAAAAAATATATCTCATCAGGCTCATTAAATCAGATTTTTGCTTCCACGATTAATCAAGCAAGAAAAATTGTCATCACATGAGATAATACTTTTATATGTAATACAACATGTAAAAAAATCTAGAGATACAGGATAAATTGCAAACCTTCTTCTTAGCTTTCCCTCCAGATCCACCTTCCTTCTTTTTTTGGGTCTTTTGGGGTTGCTTGGAAGATCCCTTCGTATCCTTTTTAGGCGGCTAAAATGAAACGATTAATATAAGAATAATTGTATTTACTCTTTGTACATTTATAATAAACTGTACATATTAATAAACTCGTTAGTAAACTAAATATGTTAATAAATAATAACAAAGTCTAAGGTTAGAAAAATATTGAAAATATATAAATGAAATTCTTATTAAAAACATTATTTTGTTCTCTGTAAAATATTAACGCGTATTTATGTAATATAACCAATTATTTACTCGTTAGAGAATTAAAACGCTTAACTAATGATTGATAATAATGTTTCACGCGTTTAGTTCAAGCCATGCGGATATAATACACAAAAGGTTATCCTCATATTTGTCCGTAAACTTTTTATTATAATTAAATATTCATTTTCTTATTATTATAAATTCCTCATCGAAATATTATGAAGTGTTGTTATTTACAAATATTATTATTTACAAATAACTTTCTAATCATTATATTTTTTAGATATTCTCATATGCAACTTACCATGATGGCTGTCTATACGGAAAGAAAATGGGGATCTGACGATTGCCATACCGTTTGGCTACAGTGCTGCCACAAGGTGCTACTACTTCAATCAATATTACATTTAAAAAAAATTAATTCATATACATATAGTAATATTTATAAGTAATACAACAATTCTATTTTTTTAACGTTTAAAAATTTACGAAAGTTTTAGTTTACTATTATTAGATTTATTAAATTATTAAAGTAGTATTTTCATTAAAGTAGTATTTTCAATTGAATAATGTAACTTCTTCTATGTTCCTATTTTTTTTATATGTAAAAAGTAACATTGAACTTTACTGATCAATTCATTATCAATTTATTTAAAAAATATGTTCAAATAATATGACAATGTAAAATAAATACATAATACCTCATTATATGTATATATATATGTATATATATCTTATATATATCTATTTGATTACATTTTTGTTCATATATATTATTCTGTCTGAAAACATTCGATGTTATCGCGTGACTGTTATGATTCATGTCATTCGTAAGATGTTATATATCATATATATTTCTTTGCAGAATCCTAAGTAACATCATTTGAATTTTCTGGACTTGTCAAGTTCTTTCATAGTAATCACAATGACTAGTAAAAAGGGACATAATCTTAGAATTGAATCTGAAATTGATAGAAATAGGAATGAAGATAATTGGAAGAAGGTTATATTATGAATTCAAATAATATATGTGTATTCATTGATTATTAAAAAAAACATTTTTTTAATTCTTATTTTTTAATGTGTGATTTTTTTCAATTAATTTAACTAAAGAACTTTTATATATCGTTTCAGTTCTTTGTGTTTTATTATGTAAATTTTCACTTAATTTGAATTAATTTTCAAGTGCTTTTTCACTTTATATTTTTTTTTTAAACATTTAGCTTTGCTTTTAAGATTTTGTCTATGATATAACTTTAATCAATACCAGTTGCAATACTATCATTACTCTTTCTACTCATATGTTTCTAAGAATCTAATTCTTGTAGTAATTTTTTACTAATGGATGTATCATTTGTATGTTTCTTAATAAAATTTGTTTTCACTGATACAGGAGATTCCGAATTTCGTGAATTGATTAAAGCTTTTAAAAAGGTATTACTTCTTTTTGATTTATAATTTGATTTATAACTTCATCTTCATCTGTATCAGATATAATCATTTTTTTAAATTTCTATAAAACTGCTTCTACAAAAATGGAGGGGTAAAAATAAAATAATATGAGGACATTATTTCATTTCCTTATTTTATTTATATTTTACCTGATTGTTCTTTGTTTTATACTATTGGTAAATTACTTAAAACTTCAGAATTTCATGTTTCTAACATTTTCCATCATTCATGATTTGTATTTATTGATTGCATTTGAGAAACAGAATCTAAATATTTACATGTTTCATTTGTTGCATTGTATTTCGAGAAATAGGAAATAACATTGTTAAGTTATTTCACCAAAAAAGTTCTTTTAAAATAAAAGAAAATTTAAATAATTATGATCAAAACCGATTGAGATAAAATGTTAAGAAAAATATACAATTATTTTATGATTATTAAATAGAGAAAAACACTCTTATGTTGATCATAGTGTAATAACGAGGAATTAAATATTTATAAGTTGTCAGTGTCATGTAATTTTTAATACTTTTTTAATAATTACAAAAAAGGTCAAATAACTTATATTCTGACATATATATGTGTGTGTGTGTATATTTAAAAATATTAGGAAAATTATTCTTCTGTTTACTTAATTCTTTCAACATTATAATAAAAAAAAAAAAAGAATCATATAGAAAAATTATCACACTATAAAATATAATAATAAAAAAATCGAAGTACAATCAAATTCTTCAATGAAATTATTAAACTTTATCTTCTATTTCACGTAAAATAAACAGATTTTACTTTTTAATGTATTTGCATCACAACTCTACTTATGATAAATGAAAGTCGCGGCTCGAAGAATAATTCACGCTTGGTAATAAATGACGATCGTCATGTGCTTACGGATGCAAATGATTAATAATTAACAATGTAATTAAAAGAAAAGTCGTATATATGATTCTAAAGTGATAAATGACTTGCGTATTGAATCTTTTTTTTTTATGAATCACTGTTCTCAAACATTCTTCACAAAATATATATCCACAACTTGTTGTAAGTCTGCATAAGACTTGTAATTCATTAAACCATATCGCACATATTAAGAGTAAAAGTCCATCGCATAGTATCTCCTTTATTGTGATGGCGTATCGCTATGTGCTTCGTTCTCGCATAGTATAAGGAATTCTTTAATAATTTCAACGTGCTCGCATTATCATTATAAATGGAGATGTCGGGTTCGATTCCTAACCAAAGTTCCGAGATAGTACTAAATATTAAATATCAGGTCTAGTAATAATTAATGTTATTTTTAGTATTTGTTTAAAATCCTGCTTGCCGCTAACTTCATCAACATAACCTACAAATATGTAGTACATACAGAAAGTGTGAAGTGTAATTAACAAGCTTTGCTGCAAAAAGTTTGTGTTTGAACTGTTTTATTTTGCGAAACTAGGGTTAAAAAGCATATTCGGCATTGCATGTTTTACGAGTTTCAGTTACGAAAAAAAGCAAATGAAGCTGCGAAAAATATCTGTAATGTTCTGGGTCAAGATGCTGTTGGTGTCAGAAAATGTCAGCGTTGGTTTAAGAAATTTCGAGAGGGAAATTTTTCGTTGAAAGACGAAAGTGGTCGAGGCCGTGTGTCCAATTTTGATCAGGAAGCACTTCAGGCTCTTTTGGTTAAAAATTCTCAAATAACGCAACAAGAGCTTGCGACAGCTTTAAACTGTTCGCAAAAAACTATTTGCAATCAATTGCGTTCACTTAGTAAGGTCTCAAAATTTGGAAAGTGGATTCCACATAAATAAACTGAAAACAACCGCAATCAAAAAGTGATAATTTACAGTTCGCTACTCTCTCGTCAAAACCGTTTGACGTTTTTAAAGCAAATTGTTACCGGAGATGAAAAATGGGTGTTTTATGTTAATCTAAAGAGACGGCCTCAATGGTTGGACAAAAGTGAAGCTCCGCAACCCATCCCAAAGCTTGACTTGCATGCAAAAAAAAGTGATGTTGTATGTTCGGTGGAATTAAAAAAAAATTCATTATGAACTCTTACCAGCCAACCAAATCATTACAAGTGTAGTATATAGTGCTCAATTGGAAAGGTTAACTCGAGCTTTGAGAGAAAAAGAACTAGCACTGATTAATCGGAAGAGCGTCATTTTTCATCACAATAACACACGACTGCATACTGCAAGAATCACGGC